GGGGTGAATTTGGAGTATGTTGGGGGGCTGAGTGACCTCAGAATGACCTATAAATATTATTTTAATATCTAAAAAACCAAAGCAGCACACACGAAAATTTTTAAAGCACAAACGGAGCACAAACGATTGAGACTATTTTGCCGACGTTTTGCGTTGGGTAGGGGGCCAACTTCACGGAGGTCAAAACAGAGGGGTAGGGGAAAGGGGAAGGGCTAAGGGATAGAAATGGAATTGGGCCTTAGAGTTTCACAACAGAACTTTGTATTTGTTTTGCTTTGCAACACTCTTTTGAGATTTTTATAATTTACATATAAACTTTAAATTATATAACAGTACTCACGTGTTTATTATTGAAAATGATTCTGTTATGCCAGCCCAGAAAGACAGGAACTCTTCCTTAGGTAATTTTGGCAGGCAGAGGGCAGTGCAGAGATGAGAAAGAGTCCTGTTGTCTAATTCTAGACTATACCGTCCCCACACGTAGAGCAAAATGAGAGCAGCATTCAGTGGCTCCATGTTGAATGCATTCTTCCCTTTGTGGTCTTTCTGTAGCTCTGGAATCACCCACTCCAGCATGAACCCCTTCAGAAGCTTTTTCACCTGAAAGGATGAAATTGAGACAATATACTGCATTTCATGTTAACATTTGCATCTAAGCATCTAACAAAGGGCATGGAGAAATCAAGAGTTTGGAAACCACCGGCGACATCAGCAGCCAACAACGACCAGGGCCCGTATTCACAAAACATTTTATCTTACCACTAAGAATTCTCCTAAATAGCAGTAAAAGTTTTTAGCTAATTATGCTTCTCGTAAACAATTAGTCAATATGCATTAGGGCTGCCCTCGACTAAAGATTTTTCTGGTCGACTAGTAGTCGTTCATTTTAAGCATTAGTCAACTATTAGTCGCACTTTTATTAATAAACCATATAAATCATAATAATGAGCCTTTAATTGCCTACATAGCCTAGTAAGAGCTCAAGCGCACGTAAAAAAGGCTTGCCACAGCGCACTGGCAAATATAATAATTATGAATGTGTTAGGGGAAAACAGCAAGTACACTGCATTAAAGTTTTAATAATTTATTGTTACACTAGTGCTTTCTGTTTTCGGGTTTAAGAGATGAAGTCGGCGACACTGACTCGTCATCTCCGCAGTATGTGCCTGTATGCATGTTTCATAAAGATTACATAATCTGAGAATATATATATATATATTTTTCATGTAATAAGGCAAGCATACACGGAGTTTCGAAGAGACGCGCTCAATTTCACAGAGTCCGAGACGGCAGAGAGTGCATTCTGTTTGCTTTCAATATTTTACAAAAGCGCAATGTTTCATTGTTATTCTGAGTGCACACGAATAAATGTAGTCTATTACACTAAGTGTAAATAGCAATTAGATGTTATTTACACTAAGTGAAAATAGCAATGGATTCCATTTACACTAAGTGAAAATAGTAGTATTTTTAACAATATGCTATATGCTTAACACTAAGTTCAAATAGCTATAGATTCTATTTACACTGTTAAAATTACAAAATGTTCTGCTATTTATACTACTTATTGCAAACAGTGGCAATTATCTGCACCTCAGTATTGTAGTACATTATAAAACAGTCTGCAATAATAACGTATTGAGTGTAAATTATCATTTTAATTCAAATTATTAAATGGATGCCACCTTATTGGGACAATATAAGCCCTCCCTATACCTACCCTAACCGATACTTTATTTAAATTTTTTATTTTATTGAAAATAAATGCCTTTCCGATGTGATATGAGATCTGAAAAGGGAGAAAAAAGTTTGGCAAAAGGCGGGTTCGAACTCTGGTCGATCGCGTCAAAAAGCATGCACCTTACCATCTACTACACTGCAAATGATGTTTCATGAGCGTCTTTTGTAGTGTTGACTACCCCAATCACACGTTGGTGGGCGGAGTTAGTGTAAGTAGCCTCTGCCAACAAGGCAGGCCATTTGCACTTAGTGTAAATAGACACTCCGATATAAGTATAAATTTGTATCATTCCTGTGTGTGTGTTATGTATTACTTATATTTTCTAAGAAATACACGTGAGACGGGAGTGAGTGTTCAACTGGTGCTTGCCGTTTATTTTCTCTTAAAGTCACTACTCCAAAAACTACGGTGTTTACGTACTCATCACGTAACATAGGAGGGTGTATAGGACCACTTTTTTTTATTTAACCTAACTAGGGAAAGAGGGTAGATTACCTCTATTCCCGGACATAACCCTGGGGATTATTCTGCCTCGATGCTGTGAGTTTGTCACTAACTAAAGTGTCAGTCTATTAGGAGGTTGACGTTCTCTCTGAGGATATGGCCAATTCATCGGTACACTCACAGTCACAGTCTTTTTCGCGGGAGTGTAGTATGACAAGGGCATTGACGGACTTGTACTTAGAACGCAAGAAACTCATCGTAAGAAACATTTTTCAGAGTTTTTCAAATTGGTATGTTTCGCCTGGCCGCGAAGAAATATAGAGCTGAGTATAATCAGAATAACAGTGAAAGCTAACACCATGTTTCCTGATTAGACTTGTGCCGGTATTCAGTAATGCGATATATCACGGTAATGAATATGCACGATATTGTTATCGTGGGAGCGTGAAGAGTAACGGCCCTAGTACTGAGCCTTGAGGTACTCCATACTGCACTTGTGATCGATGTGATACCTCTTCGTTCACTGCTACGAATTGATGGCGGTCAGATAAGTGCGATTGTGCCAATGCATGCCAATGCACTTCCATTAATGCCAACAAAGTTTTCTAGTCTGTTCAAAAGAATGTTGTGGTCGATAGTGTCGAACGCAGCGCTAAGATCCAGTAGCACTAAAAGAGAGATACAACCTCTATCAGATGATAAGAGCAGGTCATTTGTAACTCTAATGAGAGCAGTCTCAGTACTATGATACGATCTAAATCCTGACTGCAAACACTCACAGATACCATTTTTCTCTAAGAAGGAACATAATTGTGAGGATACTACCTTTTCTAGTATCTTTGACAGAAAAGGGAGATTCAAGATTAATTAACTAGTTCATTGGGGTCAAGTTGTGGTTTTTAATGAGAGGCTTGATAACAGCCAGTTTGAAGGTTTTGGGGACATATCCTAATGACAATGACGAATTAATAATAGTCAGAAGAGGATTCCTATAGTATAGAATGAGTGGAATTGTTCCTCAGGGGATCTATAGCGCACTATCTGATGCGATACTGTAGTTGATGTCTGCATGGTTACAATTTTATCTCTGATAGTATCGATATTGCAAGTAAGGTAGTTCATATAAAGTCATTACTGCTGTGCTGTTGGGAAATGTCAATGCCTGTTGATGCTTTATTTTTCGATAATTTAGCCATTGTATTGCATAAATACCTGGGGTTATGTTTGTTTTCTTCTAAAAGAGACGAAAAGTAATCAGATCTAGCCATTTGTAATGCTTTTCTGTAGGATAGGGTACTTTCCCGCCATGCAATACGAAATACCTCTAGTTTTGTTTTCCTCCAGCTGCGCTCCATTTTCCGGGCTGCTCTCTTTAGGGCGCGAGTGTGCTCATTATACTACAGTGTCAGACTGTTTTCCTTAACCCTCAAAGACCGAGACAGCCGCCCACGGCTAAAAATAGCTATTGTTTTTAAATGTTTAATAACTTTTGAACGTTAATCCTATCTGAATGCTTTACGGAGATATCTCATTTGTCTTATTTGGATATTCAGAGGCTCCATAGTGTACGTGATTACGTCAAAACATTTTGACAACATTGATTCGTCAGAAGAAACCAATGCATTTCGTTCCTCTGAGCCAAACAGGAAAGATTGTTGACGCTTAGTCCCACCCCCGTGCCCAGATTGGTTCAAACTGTCCTATATTCAACCAAAAAATATTTTTGAACCACCATTTAGGATGTTTCTTTGGAAATTTGAACAAATGCAAAGTGAAAGTAAAGTCTGTCGTGCGTGCATGAAAACAAACACAAAATATTTTTTGCATTTGCATGAGAGAACTCTGAAAAAGCACAGAAAAACACACGACTGAGTACTTTGACATAAAACAAACCAAAAACACGGATGAGACAGCGGTACATATCGGATAAAGCACTGGAATTTATGTCTCTGCGCCGCTAGGCAACGTCCCGGTAAAATAGATTCTGACACAGAGTACAGCCAGCGGATCGATCCATTTATATCATGTAAATAATACTTACATAGTTCATAAAGATCATTTTCACTATTTTTTCTGTTGCACTCTGTATATTTCTCACTCATTTTCTGTGTAGTTTGAGAATCATTTGCACTGTTTGTATTTTTGTTGCAGAAGACCATTTGTGCCATTGTTTTCACTATTAGCTGCACAGTTTGTGTTTGTTGTTGTTCATACTCAGATTGAAAATATATTTCTCTGAAAAAAAGTTTTTTGGACACATCTATATTGTTAGTAAACTAAATAGATCTGTTTTTCACTGAAAAGCGCCTATAACAATATTGTAATAAATGGCTATAACTTGCTTGGGGGATGTTATATAATTTTATTTGGAAGTATAAAACACCCAGATACAACTTTATAAAGAAAGAAAATCCAAACTGCAGGAGTTTCTGTTTGAGAACACAGTAAAAAACACCCAATTGTTGCTCGCGTTTTTCTTAAAATTCAGGAAATTAATTCATTCGTAGAGAAAACAAAAGGAAAATTGGGACTTTAAATTAGCTAAACTGAAACTTCAAGTTCTCATGTTTATAATGATATAAGGCACTTGATGCCGACTGCTAGAATAGGTCTTCAAAAACAAAGAAAAGTGCAGGCGTGTCAGGTGCCCCAAAAAAGTTCTAGGTCTTTAAGGATTCATCTTCTTTAAGCGTAAAGGAGCAACCGTATCTAAAATGCTAGAAAAGAGAGAGTCCACAGTTTCTGTTACATCATCAAGTTCTTCTGAGCTATTGGATATGCTGAGGAATTGAGATAAATCAGAAAGATTACTTGCAAAGCAATCTTTTGTGGTAGAAGTGATGGTTCTACCATACTTGTAACAAGGAGTAGAATTTACAGTTTTAGCTATATGATGTTTGCACAGGACTAGATAATGATCGCTTGGCTGCATAATTTCAACACCATCAACATCAATTCCATGTGACAGTATTAAATCTAGAGTATGATTTCGACAATGAGTAGGTCCTGGACTCCTGACATGTGTTGTCTAACCCCAATAGAGTTCAGAATGTCTATGAATGGTGATCCCAATGCAGCTTTTCCATTATCAACATGGATATTAAAATCAACAACAATTAAGACTTTATCTGCAGCCAGCACTAACTCAGATAGAAAATCAGCACATTCTTTAATAAAGTCTGTATGGTGCCCTGGTGGCCTGTATACAGTAGCCAGTACAAACATCACAGGGGATTTATCATTAACACTTGTTTCTCTGGATAATGTTATATGAAGCACCATTACTTCAAACGAGTTATACTTGAAACCCGACCTCTGAGAAATACTGAAAATATTGAAAAAAACACCTCCCCCTTTACCTTTTGGACGTGGCTCATGTTTATAACAGTAATCTTGCGGGGTAGACTCGTTTAAAATAATGTAATCATCAGGTTTTAGCCAGGTTTCTGTCAAACAGAGCACATCTAGGTTATGATCAGTGATCATATCATTTACAAAAAGCGCTTTATTTGTTGAACATCAATTAAATTGTTACTCATAAATTGGTTTAAATGTTTTTTTGTATTTTCTAGGGAACAGACACAGTCTCTATAGTGTGATATCTAGGTGAAAGAGTCACTATGTGCTGAGAATGAACTGATTTCTGTGAAAAAGTAATGATTATGAATGTGCCGTGGAAAAAGAAGACATTTTAATTGTTTATTAAAAGCTATTTCCCTGCATTTATCACATGTGAATCCCTCGTCGCCAACACATCCCAGACAATATGTTTCCGGATTTTGATTATTCAGACGTCGAAGGTGCAGCTGTGCTGTTCAAACGCGCGTACAAACGCAGAAAAGAGAAGCACGCTGGTTAAGTTCCACGAGTGTGGCTTTCAAACTGCGCTCCCCAAGAATTAATCTTCCAAATGTCCATTCCCTTCTTAACAAAACTGAAGAACACCTCCTCCTCAGTTGCATCAACAAGGACTTTTCAAACTCTGCTGCACTGTGCTTCACTAAAACCTGGCTGAGTGAAGCCATTCCAGACAATGCGCTTCATCTGCTGGGCTTCCAGCTGTTCAGGGTGGAGTTAACGAGGAGTGGTGGATTGTGATTCTACATCAATGAAAGTTGGTGTTCAGATGTAACGACGCTGAAAAAGACATGCTGTTCTAACTTAGAGGCACTCTTCATAAACTATAAACCTTTTTACTCGCCACGGGAGTTTTCCTCTTTCATTCTCGCAAATGTGTACATCCCTCCAGACACATGCGTGAGCGCAGCGCTTCAACAGCTGGCTGAACAAATAACTGAAATGGAGCAAAGTTACTAAGACGCTCTTTTAATCATTCTTGGAGATTTTAACAAAGCAAATCTTTCCTGTGAACTGCCAAAATACAGACAGCACGTTACATGTCCCAGCAGAGACATATTTTGGATCACTGTTACACAGCAATAAAGGTTGCATATCACTCTGTCCCACGAGCAGCTTTGGGGCTCTCTGATCACTGTTTGGTTCATCTTATACTGATCTACAGGCAGAAACTGAAATCAGCTAAACCTGTTATAAGGACTGTTAAAAGATGGACTAATGAAGCCTACTTCGACTGCAACCCCTCCCCAAAAAACCCCAAATCACTGAACTTAATGATTACAGACCTGTCGCTCTAATGTCTGTGGTCATGAAGTCACTTGAGGGACTGGTCCTAGCCTAGCTGAGGGGCATCACTGGACCCTTGCTGGATCCTCTTCAGTTTGCCTACAGAGCAAACAGGTCTGTGGATGATGCAGTCAACATGGGACTGCATTATATTCTGCAACATCTTGACAGACCTGGGACTTATGGAAGGATCTTGTTTGTAGACTTCAGTTCGGCCTTCAATACCACCATCCCTGACCTTCTCTCAGCCAAACTGACCCAGCTCTCCGTACTCACCTCCATCTGTCAGTAGATCACCAGCTTCCTGACAGACAGCAGCTAGTGAGGCTGGGTAAACTCACATCCAAAACTCTCACAATCAGCTCTGGTGCCCCTCAGGGATGTGTGCTCTCCCCACTGCTTTTCTCCCTGTATACGAATGAATGCACTGCAATTCACCCACTGCAATTCCAAGATCTTTACATCTCCAGAGTGAGGAAAAAGGCTAAGAAAATCACTTCAGACCCCACACCCCCAGCACACTCTCTCTTCAAACTGTTGCCCTCTGGTCGGCTCTACAGAGCACCAACCACCAGAACAGCCAGGCATAAGAACAGTTTTTTTTCCCCTGCAGGCTATATTCAGCCTGAACAATTAAAATATTCATAACTATGCATTGTCCATCATAACTGACACATTTATACATAAAATCAGAAAATTGTATGTGTAAACTGCACACTTGTAAATAGCATATCTGTACATTAATTTAAACAATTACGTTTTATCCCCTATATTTCTACTTCTGTATATAGTGCATTATTTAATTTTCTGTTTTTCTTATATAAGTGTTATATTCCATCTCTATTGTGTTATTCCTATGTATGTCTGCACTATAATGAATGTTTTCACTATGTCCGTACTTTCTTCTGCACTGGAAGCTCCTGTCGTCAAGTCAAATTCCTTGTGGGTAAACATACTTGATAATAAATCTCTTTCTGACTTTATTATTCTGCCATTAGATGGCGACAAGAGACTGTTTTTTATGAGTGAGTCAGCAGGAAAGACTTCTATATTGAAAGACTGAAACTGTTGTAAACAAGGAAGTTATTTTTACTTTTAACAACAGCTTTTAAGACGCAGACAAAAAATGCACTGAGCAGCGCTGTCATCGGAAATCACCCTTAACAGACTAAAGGATAGTACGACAAAGATATCGCTTTCCTCAGCGGACATTCAAACTAATGTTTTATTGTGAATATGAGATTGAGCTTAAGAATTAATGCTGTATCAGATGCAGGTAATCACACTCGCTCCATCTCTCTCATGGTAGTCCATCTCTCTCTCAAAATACTCTACATCAGGGGTTTTCAAACATTTCCTGGAGTCCCCCGTCCTGCACATTTTGAATGGCTGCGTTTACACTTGGCATTAACATGCAATCACCGTGAAGCAGATCGGATCATCAGTCAATCAGCACATTGTTTACACTTGGCAACATCAACTGACTTCTCTATCTGGATAACCGATCGGATCTGTCTTTCCCATGCAATATTTAAATAAGAGCCAGGTTCTCTCGAAACCACGTTTAAGCATTTCGTCTGCTAGGCCTTCATATATTGATTTGTTTCTGTAGCTACTTCCAAGCTTAGCTTGAATGCTCGCATTGCTCCACAAAGATTTAAGTTCGTGAGAGAGGGGGTGGGGTTTTGCATGATGTCGACCTGCAAATGCAGACACGATGGCTGGATTGTGTTTACATTACACTGAGATCCAATCACAATGCGTCCTCGACTACCTCTGGACCAGGACACGCTGATCGGATAACATTCTGATCAGAAGCGTGCTTACACTTGTCTTTTCAATGTGTATGTGGACAACATCCAGATACAGGTTGCATGTTAATGCCAAGAATATACGCAGCCCATGTCTCCCTTATTAGACACACCCAATTCAGGTCTTGCAGTCTCTACTAATGAGCTAATAAGCTGAATCGGGTGTATTAGATGAGGAAGGCATGCAAAATGTGCAGGGCAGGGGGGCCTCCATGACAGGTTTGAAAACCCCTGCTCTACATACTACAGTGAGCTTTTAATACAGTAATACAATAAGCTTTCAATCAAACAACTCAGCGTTCCAAAGTATTGCATCTCAGACTGCAAAGCCGTGCCAATATACAGCCATATCGCACTGCTACTCATGTAATATGGTGGCCAAAATTTTTAGAACAATAATATTGTCAGCAGCTAAAAATGGTTTTAAGTCAGTTATTTCTATCTTTTGCTGTAGTGTATCAGTAGGAAATATCAGTTTACATTTCCAAACATTCATTTTGCCATTAATTGTAATAATCCAGTGAGATTTTTGTGCTCCACACACAGATCTGATATGATGATCATCATCATCATCCAGTCTGTCTGGAATGACATGAAGAAACAGAACAAACTGAGACAGACTCAATCCAGAAGAACTGTGGCAGCGTCTCCAAGATGCTTCAAGAAAGCTACCTAAAAAGCTACCTGAAAAACTATGCACAAGTGCACCGAGGGCAAAAGCTGCTTTAAACGCAAAGGATGCTCACACCAAATGTTGATTTCATTTAGTTAATAGAAGTGCATTGATATAAAAAAAAACTATTTATGACGTTGTTTTTGACAGCATCCTCATTTTACAGCATTTTTACACAAGTGCCTAAAACTTTTAACAGCACTGAAGCTTTGCAGGTAGCTTTCTTGAAGCATCTTGGAGACGTTGCCACAGTTCTTCTAGATTGAGTCTGTCTCAGTTTGTTCTGTTTCTTCATGTCATTCCAGACAGACTGGATGATGATCAGATCAGATCTCTGTGTGGAGCACAATAATTTCACTGGATTATTACAATTAATGGCAAAATGAATGTTTGGAAATGTAAACTGATATTTCCTACCGACACACTACAGCAAAAGAGAAATAACTGACTTCAAACCATTTTTAGCTGCTGAAAATACTAGTGTTCTAATCATTTACAGTGGCCACCACTGTATAGATAGATGATAGATGGATAGATAGATGTGCATGTGGGGGATATTCTGCAGTATTTTATCTATTCTGTTCCATGAAGTTATTAAGGTTTGGAATGACATAAGGATGAGACAAATGATGAGATTCAGAAAGAATTAAAATTCTGGGGGTGATTTTGGGTGAAAAATATAAAAATGTTTTTCATTATATACTGAGATACATATGGTTTACTTACATCTTTTTCACCATATTCAAGTGAGCCCCATTTCACAATTGTCTTTTCAAATACAAAAGGGTTGCCATAGACTTCATAAAACTGTTGCAGTTGACAAAAGAAGTTGCTGAGGTTAATTGTGCTCCAGCTTCCCAGGAGGACAAAGATAGTTTGCAGCATGACTGAACCAGCAATTTCTCTTCCCTCGATTATTTTTTTCCTCTGCTTAGACCACAGAAATTCTTTTATACGTTTCATCACATCTTTAGATGGTTCTTTACAGATGATATCATCATACTGGTGCCATTCTCCTGCATTATGAAAAGAAAATATTAGGTCAATTAAATAATGAAAATTTTACTTGAGTATGAAATTTACCTACCGTCACTATTTAGGAGATGCGATTTGACAAACAGACATCTGTTGGTGGTTTCTTTTGAATCCAGTTTGTAGATGTATTCATAATGTAATTCATACTTGTTGTGATTTTCTTCTTTATACACAACATATTTGTATGGAATGGACACAGTTTCAGCATCAAACTTCTTGCATATATATTTCCCTTCCACAAGCAATCCATGCTCTCCGAGATCCCTGAAATCAAATCATTTTTAAGCTACTGCTTCCAGATATGAATAATCAATAAATGGTCCTTTACTAACCCTAACACTTGTAGTTCAACCAAATTTTTTTCCCAGCCACCAATGTGATCACCGGCTCTTATGAAGATACAATCCTTGTTTGGTATAAACTTGAAGTCTTTTGAAAGGACTGCATGAAAACAAATGGTGAGTCTGTCTCTGGGACTTATTTGTTGATCTGATGCTGGATTTCTGCAATTTAAAAATATTGGTAAGATAATAATCCAAGGGGGAAAAAACAACATTTGTACTTTTATAACTACATGATTCTTCATTCACCTTTTTGGAGGCTCAACATACTGACTTTCTGTATCATCACTTTCACTGCAATTCAGGTCATCAGCAAAATCAGAATTCTGCTGCTCCTGACTATGTTGGGCATTCGCTGGTGAATCTTCACTGGAAACATGTTTCTTCTAAATGCAAAATAAACCAAAATAGTCATCATATAACTCCAGGGGCCCGCTCGTTGTACCTCGCTTAATATGAATTGAAAAATGCCAGATCTTCTAATCGTGATAACTGATCTCTGGCTAATCTGGTTCTTCAAACGATTTGCGGAGTTTTTTTTTTTAATTTTAATTTTTTAAAATTAAGTTTAATTTTCAATTAAAATATCTGGATTAAGTTGTCTAAGATTACTGCGCGTTCTCGTGTTCCCCGTAAAGGGCAGATGTATCGATACTCGAGACCACGATCAGCAATGCAGCGATTGGCTGGCGACAAGACAGCAACGTAATGACGTCATATAATTAAAAAAAGACACCTAATAATAATAATACGTTGCATTTATATAGCGCTTTTCTAGGCACTCAAAGCGCTTTTACATTGTCAGGGGGTATCTCCTCGTCCACCACCAGTGTGCAGCATCCACCTGACGAAAAACTTGACAAATTTCTGGACTTTTATAAGGAAACAGCCAAGTGAACAAAACTACATAAATGTTATGATAGATAAATGAAATGTGCAGTTTTTATTTAATAAAAATTTTTTTTTTTTTTACATAATTCCCAATTATATATATTCATGATTTCTTGTATTTGTACAGGCTTTACATTTTTATTTCAATGTTGTAATTAGCAATTCATTTAATTTTATATTTGAAACCGATTTGTTACGTGACAGCATTATTTAAAGTTTCTTAAGGGTCAAAAACAAGTTATCTGAATCTCCTGCGCTCCAATAACTCAAATTAATGCACGACTCTACATTATCTGTATAGCATGTGTGTAAGACTCCAATACAATTATAAAAAGTAATTATTTTATCATGAATAAATATTTCAATGAGTAAAACTGTCTGTGTCTATAGTATTAAAGACTACACAACATTATTATATTATTTTTCAGTTAACTTTTAAATTATTATTATTTTAAATTACTGTCCCTGGATCAGTAGGGTACTCTTCTAATAAAGTAGCAGTGGTTGGGACAGATTTTAAGTTAAAAAGATGCAATCTAATCCTGTTTACATGAAATTAGCTGCTCCCGAGCAGGTTTAAGCTTGCGGAGCTGTTGCTATGACAGCAACTCCGGGATGAGCTTCGAAGAACCAAACAATCCAAGATCAAGCCAAATCATCAACAATCAAATCCAGCTGAGTTAGCAACGTACGAAGAACGGGCCCCATGTTTTTCATTTCCATGTTTATGCTTTCTGTGATTATCATTAATGTTAGCCAACAGAGCAAATTTTCCATTTAAAATTATTTTTAAGTATATTTAGAATATTGTGTAAAATAAGTTTTTATTTTCAGCAATTGCATGCACACAGGGTGAATAAAAATCATAAAATCACCAACAACAGAATCTCAGAATAAGAAACATTTTAAAAACTTAATCCAGAGCTATTTGTTAAAATTGATGTCCACCTCTTTCTTTGGGTTAGAGTTGTTGATATCTTCATTTGATTGTGTTGGAGATACACTAGCATTCTGGTAATCCAGTACTTCTGATTCAGTCTTTTCTTTATCAGTGCCATGTGGGATGTTTGAGGATGATTGAGACTCTTGCGACTTGTCTGATGAACACAAAACAAAGGTCACACAGTAGTGGTGAACATTTTTACTTTGTTATTGTACGTAAGTACATTTGTCTTTTTCTTTTCCTTTTTTTTTTTTTACTTCACCATATTTCAAAGCATTCAATAAAAACAAATCATTCCTTGTCATCTCAAACAGAAGAAAATGACACCCAGTCCACCCAGATTTATGAATGAGCTCATTGTTTTTAATTAACTGGTTGAATTGGGTCACAAATCGAACAATATGGTTCATTCACATATTGGACTGATCCGACTGCAGCTGTTCTCATTTATTCAATGACCAGTCCGAGCAAATCTCCAGTTAACAATTCACTGAATTTTCATGTCTGACCCAAATGAGCCAAGGTCCTCGAGCTTGAGTGCACACATGACTGAAAGCAAAGCAACATTACTTAAATATTTCAGAAAACAAGACATACCGTATTGGCCCGAATATAAGACGACCCTGATTATAAGACGACCCCCGTTTTTCCAGATGTACCTTTTGGAAAAAGGCTTTTTAAAATATTTGGGTCAATACGGTAATATTGTTAGTGTAATACACAATATTTTGTTAGTTTTTGTTTAAAACAAGAAAAAGTATCTGCCAACGGGGTAAGAATAATAATCTTAATTCCAAGGCAAAACAAGATTATTTTTCTTGCCCCATTGGCAGATATTGTTTCTCATTTTAAGCAAAAATTAAAAATTTGTAAGATAATTTTATTTTTTTCAGAAAACAAGACTTAATATGACCCCAAGTCATTTTGCTTCTCAAGTAAATGTATCTTGCTGTTCTTTTACTAATTTGCTTGTTTTGTTTGTTTTATGGAGGGCTTTTCTGGAGAGACTATTAACTACTTAGTCCAGGTGATATGTGAAAATAATGTTCACTTTTTCATAAAAGCATCAAACTTTGTACACTTGTATAGTTAGCGGCCCTGAACATTTTCATAAAATGGAGCCATCGCAAAAACGCCTCGTGGTGGCCATTTTACTTTCCGCCATAACCAAATTATGTATTTTGTGTCATATCTCCTGAACCAAACACAGAAAAGGTCATGTTGGTAACACTTTACAATAAGGGTACATGAATAATCATGTACTAATGTCTAAATTAATACTTAATTAATCAAATACTAATGATTATTAAAGTCCCCCTGTAGTCAAAAATTGTATCCTTTAAAACTCATCTTTGATCATCAAAATGATATATTTAAATGTTTTTTCTTGTGAAAATAATTTTCTCATGCCTTAAAATAGCTTGAATGCAACTCTACACCCTTGCCTCATTTACTATACGCGGATCTATGAATACGCAAATTAGCCCCGCCTCCACTCCAGCACTGGGTTGTATTTAACCCAGCATTTTTTAGAGTGTATGTTCAACGTAAGCAAGGAGACTGATGGCTAGCTTCGTGAGGTAACATTATCTGTTTGCGCTGGTTCGTACGCGGATAATGACTGATAAAACTGTTTTTACTAGCGGACAACTAACAGTGGATACTGTAACATTGGTTAAATTTACTTACTTGACGATGTTGTGTCCTCAAAATGCCTTGAAGACTCAAATGCAGCCAAGTTTGTGATTCCAAATGGCGCTCGCGATCATACGCGTGTGATGTGCGGATGCCAATGCGGCTACTTTTACACTGCTGCCGCGGGTTATTATTCAAGTTAGCGGTTCTAAATACAAATAATTAACTAATCATGAATTATTGAAGAGCTATCCTTAACTACAACTGGAGTCATATGGATTCACGCATGAATAACGGCCTTAATTACATGTTAGTACATGTTTGATCGTTAATGCATTAATTAACATTTATGGGTAAACGAAATCAGCCTCTCTAAGAAATAATAAGAAATACGCTGACTTTGAAATAAATTAAAAGAATTGAATACTATAATTTTTTTAACTGTTATTTAAAAATTTGAACTTTTTACATCTTCAGCTTTGCCATAAACATATGGCAAATACACATATTTTGTTATGACTTTTCTTGAGGGGGCCCAATCATAATTAACTCACTGTTAACTACCTACTAAACTCAGCTCATGATTTATTTTATACTTATGATCAAATACACATGTACTAACACAGCGAGTATTTAGCCGGTTAAGAGATGTGGATGTGTGTGGATTTTCAAGAAGTCAGAGAGCGGAGGAACAGTATCATCACGGCCTGCGTCTGGATGCACAGTGAACTGTTTCCGGGCATTTCTTTAGGATTGTTCTACAAATGTTCTTTGTGGATTTTGAGGTTTTATTTTTATTTAGTTGTTTATAAGTCCATGTAATTAAGGCTGCCGTTATTCATGCGTGAATCCATATGACTCCAGTTGTAGTTAAGGATAGCTCTTCAATAATTCATGATTAGTTAACACCTTTAATAATCATTAGTATTTGATGAATTAAAGGGGTCATGTGATGCGATTTCAATTGTTCCTTTCTCTTTGAAGTGTTACAAGCTCTTGGTGCGTAAAGAAGATCTGTAAAGTTGCAAAGACTAAAGTCTCAAATCCAAAGAGATATTCTTTATAAAAGTTAAGAGTCAGCCACACCTACCTAAAACGGCTCGTTCTAACACGCCCCACATGTCTACCTCACTATGTGGGAAGATTTGCATAACGCTGCCCAAATGTTCACTCAAAGAAAGAAGGCGTAACTTTTATTCTCACTGTAGTGTTGTTGTTGCCGCCGCCATGTCGTGAAGACACTGTGTGATTTGTTGTGAAAGCGAAACTACTTTGTTTGGTCTTCCAAAAGAGGACGATATCTGCTTCATCATGCCT